AAACCTGCACGTCTATCCACACACTGATGACACTCCACTGGTTCCAACCAGCCCACATCTTCCTCCGAGCTTTCAACCTACACATGCAACTCAACACTCAAGCAATAAGAACTCCCCGCTGACCCCTCCAGGGGGCTCCCCTGCTCCCGTACACCTCCCAGCTCTGCCCCTTTGCCTCCTGCCTCACCAAAATCTCACCTGGACTGTGGAGCCTCCCCTCCCTCTCTCCACACCGACTGCCAGCACTTCCCACTGAGAGCAGTCAGTCCGGCCCTGCCTTGGCACTACAGCAGCCTCTGACTGCTCTTCCTTTACGCTCCAGCCCACATCCCTGTGCAGCCTGAGCACTCTTCTAAACCCTTCATGTCAGTCCCACCATTTCCTTGCCTTAGACCCCCAGTGCCTCCCTCCAGCTGGACATGTCCCGTCTCTCCTGGACACCCAACCAGCACTCCTGCATGCCCTGCACAATCCGGCCTGACCCGGGCTCCACACTCCCCATTCTGTGTTCAGATACACACACGTGCTCCACTCTCCTTCACCCCTGGCCCTCAAACGGCTTATCTAAATCAATTAATCTGATTAACTAATTAATTAAATTACATGAAGTTTAAAATGCTGCTGCCCAGTTGCAACAGATGCAGGGGCTCATCAGCCCACGTGATTGGGGGCACTGTACTGGGTGCCAAGGTACAGAGGCCTCCAGCATGGCAGAGACCACATGGGGGCAGGGGCCCCAGGCTTCTCCATGGCCACACTGCCCGCCGGCAGCCTCGAGCTTGTGGTGAGCCCGGCACTCTGCAGTGCTAATGCTCACCGTGCTGCCAAGGCCACGGAGCAGCAGCACTGGTGCCTCCGTCACCCTTTCGCTGCAGCAAGCTGCTGCCATTTTAAGTACTGGGCCTGGAACCTGGGGCCTCACAAGCCCTCCACCACTGCCCTACATCCCAGCCCTTTTGATTTTTTCTTTTGACAGAGTCTTACTAAGTTGCTCATGCTAGATTCAAATTTGTAATCCTCCTGCCTCGGCCTCCCAAGTCACTGAGATCACAGGTGTGTACCATAGCTCCTGGCTTCAGTAAGCTGCTTGAAGTTCTCTCAACTGGGCAAGTCCATGACCAACTGTTGACATCAGGCTTCCATTCCAGGAAGACAAAAATATCTTGCCACTTAGGGATATATTAGCCAGAAGTATCAATTAAAAGCTATGGGCGGGGGCTGGGGTTGTGGGTCCGTGGTAGAGCACTTGCCTAGCCTGTGTGAGGCACTGGGGTTTGATTCTCAGCACCACATATAAATAAATAAAGATCCATTGACAACTAAACAATATTTTTAAAAAATTTTAAAAAGCTACGGGGGAATAGGAATGTGGAGTTAGGACTAAAAGAGCAGAATTCTGAAACCACCTCTGCCCAAACCACAGGAGCTACCTTCTCATCTGCTCACATATTAGACTTCAACCAGAATGCACCTGGTTGCCTATCTGGAAAAAAAAAAAGGTATCTTATATAATTTCCTAATTTTGTTTTTAAATATTAAAGATATTTGAAATTATCTGACACAAATAAGAAATAAAACGTATTTAACTCTTTTGCTTTGCAACACAGTTTTCTGATTTAAAAGGCAATAAGATAATCAGAATATATACCCAATTTAAGTAATTTATTACCAAAAAATCTGCCAATTGTATCAAGAGGTGTTCACATCACCTTGACAAACATCATGAGCAGAATTCTTAACAACTTCCAACCCCCTGCTAGAGGACGTTAAGAGCCACTTCCCCTTGGCCCGTCCTCCTTCCTACACTCTTCCTTCCTTGCTCATGATCTTCCCACACCAGCTCCATAGGCCATGCCTAATGTGGCTCAGATGACGCCTTCCCAAAGCCTGTCCTGATCCTCTCTCATTAAATACAATCTGCCCTGTCTCTATGTTACCATAATTTGCATGAATCACTTTAACGACATTTAGCTTGCAGGGGTTCCCATTAGAGTTATTTCAGTACTTTCAGCTTTTTAAATAAGCTCTTGAACACAAGAACCATACCTCACACACACTTAAAATCCCCTAATTTCACAAGATACCACATGAACAGAACAGAGAAACAGACATCCACTTATATTACAAAGCAACTCAAATTGGCTTAAGTCTATGATTACTAATGTAATTTCAAGCAAAATCTATTTGGATAGAAGAAGCTCAAGGCCATTTCTGAATAAAAGTGTGATACCTGGAGAATAATGAGCCTCCAAAAAGCCATCTGAAATTACCTACTGCTGACATTGCTCTTTTAAGTTGAAGCATGCTCTCTCACTCCTTGAGCACACAGCCAATGCAAACAGAGACTTTTAAAATCTATTAGGAAATGTAAGTAACTAAGTTAAATACCCTGTATTTGCTAAGCTACCTCTCCCAAATCTCACCCAAGTAGAACCCCTGTGGAGGCCATGCTTCCACTGAATCAACAGTGGATGCTATTCTTACCTCCTCTAGCCAGACGATCTACAGGAAACAGCTACTTACACATCCACCAACACCCGTGATAACTGCTCTGAACACAGAGATCGTCAGGATTGACGTCTTCTTTCCTCTCTTGACTGTGTACTTCCTATAGGAATGGTTCTGAAAGGACACACTTACCCAACTAGGTTCTCATCTCATGCTATCTCATGACACAGAGACCCCTCTAGGATCACCATGATCTGAGCACTCTGCAGCTGTCTTTGGTGCCTCCTAGCACCCTAGTTAGGGTGACTGGGAGAAGAGGAACACAATTAAGAACACAGCAATCAACAGGACTGACGGTCTATGCACTGCTTTTAAGGTGGCTCTAGGATCAGCAACTGGCGGTGTGGGGAAAGCAGATGGAAAGTTGGGGTGGGATGTCCAGAGGGTGGCTCAGGACGGAGTATCCTGCCATAATGTCCTCTAAGGAGAAAGACTGTCTCCCCCAGCCTCGTTTCCTCCTCTTCTTCATAAGTCTCCTTCCCTCCCACCCCAATCCTCCTTCTCTCCAGGGAGACATCTTCTCCAACATGGACTTCCCTCCTGACACACGAGCATGGCCTCATCTAACGTAGCACACCCCTAAGGAAAGACACGTGACTGAGAGTCCTACAGCACTCACACGGTTTGTCCTTTAGGCTAGCGTCAGGTCACTTTCATAAGTGCAGGGTCAGCACACTCAGCAATGTTATTTAATGATCTAATTGTTCCAAGACTGAAAATGGCATCACGGTGAAGTTACCAGACAGACGGAAGACTGTTTCAGGTGGGCTTTGCTAGCAACACAGGACAAGCAGACGGTCTCAGCTCTTCCAGGCAACACAGCACTGTGTTGGTTTACTCAGCCTCATCTTGCCAGTGAGGTCAAGGAACCTGCCACCATGAGACAATCACACAGCACCCAAACAACAGCCTAACACCGAGCTGCTGCAGCTCACCTGGAGCCTCAAGTTCCTGCTGCCCTTCCTATCTCTGGGCTTGGCATCATCATCCACATGACCTCCAAGGCCACCGCTACTTCCGATTCTATAAAACCCAAGGTAGTTAGTGAACTGCACCGTCAATTGAGAAGACTCTCACCCATCAAAAGAGGACATTCCTTCTGTGACAGCATTATTCCAAAAGTGCACGGCCCTTGCTTTCACTGACAGGACTACACGGCCCATGGTAGTGGGATGAAGAAGTGCAACAGGCAAGACACACTCTTTTTCTTAACTTTCACAGCCAGTCTCTCGTTAGCTTCCCTTTCTTGGTATGTTTTATTGGAAGAGAGATGTGTTTAATTAAGGATATGAAACACAGCGAGGCCTGGTGGTGCACACCAGCTACTCAGGAGGCTGAGGCAGGAGGATCCCAAATTCAAGGCTAGCCTGGGATATGTAGCGGGTCCTGCTTCAAAAAGAGGCAGGGAGGGTAGAGGGGGATGTAGCTCAGAGGTATAGCACCTGCATAGCATGTGAGGCCCTAGGTTCAATCCCCAGTACAAAAAAAAAGGATATGAAACAAAAATAGAATTATTTTGCTTTCACCCATAAAAGTTACCTACATAGAAAAATGATTTTCCAATTATAAAAATGTTCACTGAAAAAAACTCAAATTATTTTAAAATACAAAAAAGAGAAAGTAAAAATTATCCCTCACCCTACCCAAAGATATTTTAAGAGTTAAATATGCAAACTATATTTTATATAAAATATTATATGTAAATTTTACAAGGTGCCTTTTCACTTTACAACATATGTTACAGATATCCTTTCATCTGAATTTACAATGGTTTATTACCTACTTCTTTTTAAAGAATATATAGAAAAAAGATAAAACAAAATCTACTGAGTCTTCTTGACCTAGCCTCATTCTCTCCTCTTAAAAATCCAGCCTCCTGAGTCTGTATGAGGTACAAGGAGTCACGAGGCTGAAGGTAAAGAGCAAAACGCACTCATGTAGGGTGACCTGAAGAACAGGAAGGCTGACGCACCATCCCTTTCTGTTCTTGGTATGTGACTATCAGCAATAGTTCCTTTTATCCAATATTAACCAGACCAGATTTTTATCATTGCCAATTTCAGAATTCCAGACAACCAATGAATTTGGGAAAAAACACTACATGAATGTTGTATTTGAATGTTCCATTTCAGGCCCTAATTTCCACCTGCATCACATCAGACTCTAAAGATGCATGAAATCAGACCAGCTCACAGAAAACACTGAGGGGTATCACTTTATCAATACATATATATGTGTGGTTAAATTTTCCAACTTCAAATACAGCTTGCCAGATAAGAAGAAAAAAAGAACACAATATTTAGTTATATCTTAGTTGGCAGAGTCATATTTCATTTACGTCATTTCCCGTCCAAGTAGTCTTTTACAATTACACTGCTTAGAACAAATCCGATACAGCAGGTGAGATGGGGATGTCTGCACAGTGACAGGAGGGACCCATTCTCAGAACTGTAGGGAACAAAATCAAAGTACTTGACCCAAGCAGCTCATACCTTATACAGCGGGCGACGGACATCAATGGGACAGTTCTGTATTACTTCATCAACAACATCCGAGATGGACTCCATGAAGTCTGGGTTGGCAAACTAAATGGTACATAAATTCAAAAGAAATATTACACCTTCATCAACAGCACAAAACAAAAAAAGCGTTCTAAAAAATATCAAATATATAATTTACTATAACTGAAAACATGTCACACTGGAATGAAGGCGTGTCAAAGAATTCCAGTGACTTGACCACATGTACATGTACCGTGATGCTCTGAGTCTCCTCAGAGACAAAACTGTGGGTGAAGGAAAAACATCCAAAATCAGTAATATGCACCAACCCTGCAACATGTGTGGGACTCACACCAACAAGGAAGGAAAGAGCCTGAGCCCAAGCATCGTGGTGTTCAAGCACACACAGTCACTTGTCAATGTCAACAACACAGAATATCAGAAAGGAGAAATGTTCTTATGTGATGGTGGAGGAACAATCCACATTGTGTTACTGAGGACACATCCTTAGACTCAATTCTGTAAGTTAAATAAGCTAAAGTATGTCATTCAACTCAACTACATTTGAAATCTATTTTAAAAATCAAGCAAAGCTTTAATGTGAAAGTCTCAGAGAAGTCGGCAATATCCAGCTGTCCACCAAGTGGACATCTGTCAGTTTTATGTCTATTGTATATCGATATCATCAAAAGAGTGGGTATTCACTGGATTATTATTCATTTAGGTGAATACTATTATCCATTAGAATAACAGTAAGGCATATATTTTGTGCCATTTCCTTGTACAAAATATATATGTACCTGAAAACAGGCAGCACTTTGCAACCTACCTACTAAATATAAACTGAATTAGGCAGGAAAATACACCAAAATATAAATAAAATGCATTGTATATAAACCTTAAATATTGCCTCTTAATTACTGCTTTCTGTAAAAGTTTAATAATTCCTTTTGACTATTAGTTAAAATGATAACATCTGTAATTTGTGCACTATCTAAATAATAGTAATAATGTCAGCCCTCAGATAGAAACTTTACCAAACTGCAGTTGGGGACACAGCAGGACCAAATGTCTAGGGTTGAAATTGGGCTTAGGAAGGACAATCACAAAGATAAAAAGGATTATGTGGTATCCAACTTTTATGCAGAGGAAACTTGCATATAGGTCTTGAGATTAACTAGCTGTCATTAACACATGACCCCAACCTTTGAGGTCAATTTCAATTGTTTCATCTTTTAGTACTCTTAAAACTTCTTCTTAACATCTCAAGAGACAATCCAGCTTCAATTATTAAAGCACATTAGTTTATGGAGCGGTTAGCCAATCAATTGAGCAGACAAACCAGCAAGACTGCCTGCCGGCTCGCTTGTTGGGCCACTTATTGAAAACTGTTCTTTGCACACACTAGGTGGCAGCACTGCTCCATACACACTGCACTCCAACAACTCACAAGAGAACCAACTTACCTCTGGGTGAAAGAATATTTCAGGTCCCAGGAACCTCTCATACCCAACATCTATAACAAACTTCTTCTGGTTGATTGCATTGATACCCGTGTACTGTTTGATCCACTTCCGGGGATCCACATCATACTTAGCAAACTCCTTGACTATATCAGGGCAAATGTAACAGTATTTCTCCTGTATATGCACACAAAGACATCACCAGGTATTAACACCTATCCAGTGCCTCTGCCCTATGACAAATACACAGGAGCCCCATGCATTGAACACACCCATGAAATCAGATCCACCCACAACTTAACTCCAGTGTGGAGATGCTACCCAGCCTCATGCTCTGCCAGCTTTCACACGAGTCATGACTACACTTGGACAGTCTACTTTCTCTGAAACTTGGCTTGGAAACTCAACCTTGCTCTCTCAAGTTCTGCTGCCTGATGATGTGAAATATTAGGTGTCCATTAGAGTATCTTGTCTCTATCCAGTCTGTGCTTGTTCCCGCAGGTGCCCCACCTGGTGCCTGCCAGGCAACTCTCTGTGGTTCACCTCTAGATAGAAGACCACGATAATCTACTGAACATGACATCTGTCCACATCCTAATGCCTGACTGCATGTGACAGTAGGGAGTGACACCAACCCACCTGCTGGTCATTCACCTAGACTGCTGCATGCCTGAAGAGGTACCCTGCTGATCAGGTATTCTAAGTCACTTGATCAACACACATTCATTAAGTGTCTCGGCACCAGGATTACACAGTGAATAAAATGCACAGATCCCTGCCAGGTGACACTCCAGAGAAGAGTCAGGCAACAGGCAGCCACAATAAGTAAGCAGCATGATGGCAAAAGGTGACAGGTGCCACAGAACAAGGGAAAAACAGAAACAGGCAGGGGGATTGGAGGTGCTCATCTGTGGCCGCTCAAGAGACCTTGTGAGTTGTTTCCAGCCTGGCACCAACAACCAGCTTGAGATGTGCAAAGTCCCGAGGACCAGGTAACACTGATGTTCTTGGGATCTTTGTGCTGATCACCTGTCCATAGAGCTCACCTCAGCAAAGCAGCAGATGAGTACCAGCTTCTCAAAGTAACTTCCCTGGGGGAGACAGCCACACCAGCACAGCCACACCAGAGAACATCAGCACCCAGGGGACACTCACTACACATTTTGGAAGGAATGGCCCTTCTGCAAGGATCTCCACGGGTGTTTCCATGACATTAACTATGAAGTTCTTAAAACTCCTAAATTCTAATGTATCTTAATTCCATCTTCAGGATACCTGGATTTCAGGGTCAGAACTGAAACAAAGCCAGTGAATAAAGTAAATGCCCAGCATGAGGCTCAGGAAGGCACCTCATGAGTGGTATTGCTTGCTTGGGAACCCTAAGAAAGGGAACCCTCAGACTCCCAGAGTGATCCTGGGCATCAGCAGCAGAAGTTCAGTTCTAATTCACATCTGTAACAGATCTGAGCAGGCAAGGAAGGCTAGATCCAATATCCAAATTTTTTTCCATCAAAGAAAGGAGAAAGGGAAAACCATATGGATATTTTAGTTTTTTGTTTTTTGGTTTTTTTTAAAAAAAAAAAAAAAGACTCTCTTCTGGAAATATCCCCACAGAGGGAAGGGACTAACTCTTCTCATTTACCCAGGATCCATCACTGAAGTGCTGGAGCCCCCAGCCCTGGAAACTCCCGTCCCAGGGAAGCCAGGCTGGGAGCATCCTACTTGCAAGAGCCTCCCTATACCTCTTCCCAACTCTCACCCTAGGAATGCCTGTTTTTACCTAGTGTCAATCAAAACTTGGGAATCATTTCTGGTCCTTTCTTCCATACAAGCAGTTTCAGTTACAAGATGCACAGATAAGAGAAAAGCATTAGACTCAACAAGCCCCCCAATTCCCCTACAGCTCAGTAACTATGAGCTGTATGAGAAAGGAGATGCTCAAGGCCACTAGCACATCCCCACATTTAAATTCTTCTCCAAAACAAAGTCCTTCCCTACGTGTCTGTATAATAATTAGCTTTGGCTTACAAGGGATTTCTTTTTTTTTTTTTTTTTTTTTTTTGCTTTTTGATCTTTTTAAAAAATGTCTTGATTGTACAACCTGAAAAGAAAAATTCATCTAAAGGATCTGTAACTGTCATATACAGGATAATACAAAGGCTAAACTAATAGACTGGATCAAGTTGACATTCCAAATAAGGCCCAATAAGCCATTTTTATCCCAATCTTACTAAATTCTAAAATGGCCTGTTAACCTTTCTAGTATGGAACTAGAGTCCACCACTACAGTGAGCTTTGTTTAATGATCCTGGACCCTAGAATGGTATTGTTCTGAAGTGTTCACAAACATGGCAGACTCCACTGGATTCCTGGTGGTCACTGCCGCTGCTGATTCGCCTCCTAATTCTAAAACAAAGCATGGAGGGAGACATGGAAGCAACGTTCAGCTAACTGAAGGCTGTGCACTGGCTTCATTAAACAGTTATACTCCACACATGCTGGTGGCTCAGCACCCGTTAGCAAGCTGTTGCTCACAGTCGGAGCCTCAACAGAGGGTCCGTAATAGAAGAGGGGGCTGAGCCTAAAGCCTTCAGCCCACCTAACTCACTGGGAAACAAACCAAGGTCCACACACAAGGGAGAGGAGAGGACAGGGAAGAAAGAAGGAAGGAAGGAAAGAAGGGAAGAATGAGGTCATCAAGGGCAAGTGTCCAGACACCACCCCCAAACCAGCCGGTTTCCCGTCTGTTTTTACCTTAATGGCTTTTGCCGTCTCCAGTGACTGCTCAGGAGGGATTCCCACCTCCCGCTCCCTTAGCAGCTGTTGAATGAAATACGTAATATCTCTACCTGCAATCGGGATGTGTTTGATGCAGCTTCCAATGACATACCCTTCTGCCTGGGGAAGAAGAGGAAGCAGAACAGCCCATGTAAGTGACCCACAGTCAGAAACCACATGCACTCACTCATAAGATCTCCAGCCCTAGCCTCCGTGCCTGCCCCCACCTGGCACAGCCAGCATCTGCCAAGCCCCTCCATACAATCAGTTCCAAAGGTCCTTCAAAATGACCCATGTGCTTCACTAATAATGAAAGTTCTAAATTACTCCAATAGCCCGAGGTTCTTCATAAGCAACCAAATGATGATGTTAGGAACATGGTAGAGAAACCAAACCGGATAGTTCACTTCTAAACCATAATGCTGCCTGGGAGAAAAGTAACTCCAACAGGGGTTTCTTTTCCTCTCTAGCAAAAAGGAAAAGACTTTATTTATTAATCGTTAAACAACTATAAATCTACTTATATTTAAAAGTCAATAGTGTGGTAGACAGGTCTGAGGTTCAAATCCCAGTTTCACATTTGTTAGCTGAGTAACTGGACAAGGTAAACATGCCTCAGCCTCAGTATCTGCATCTAGAATATGGAGCAAATTATACCAAGGGCACTTTACAATAGAGATTAAATAAAATCTGTATGTCAAACACACAGTACTATTTTATGATACATACTAAAGTACTCAAAATAGTTCCATTTATCATACCAAGAAACAATTCTGGTTAGTTAACTGAACCCTCCATCATGGCTCAGGCTGGACTCTCTCTCTCCACTGCCTTCTTGAACCAGTGAAGACCTGCCCATCAAGGGCCAGGAAGAGATGCATGCATGACTCTGCAACCCCTCACTAGAAGAGCTGGTGCCACATGCCCACAGCAGCGAGGGATACAAGCCTCCCTTGTGGCCCCTCTGTGGCACAAACCTGCCACAGAAGCCACCGGTGTAGGCAGCCATCCAGGTGCTCTGCTGGGGTGTGGTGGGAGGTGGTCATGGTCAGAGCAGGTAACACACCACCACACTGGCACACAAAAAGATGCCCTCCCGCTTCAGGCTGCAGCTCTTCACAGCTTCTGTGCCACAACACCCAGCAGAGTCGCAGAGCACTGAAGCACACACTGACTCTGACTGCACACACACTGGACGCAGCTAAGCCACAAGGATAACTTACTGAATTCCTCCTAAGTTTTTTCTGGATTATCTAATTTCTAGAAGCAAAGAAGATATGGCCTTGCAGCAGAGTCCCAGTATTTGTAAAATGTTTAAAGATGGAGATAAAAGATACGTACAAGTTATTAATATAGTAAAGATCAACCTGAACCCACAAAATGTTAGCTTCCAAGCACACAAATTACTCACAATTTATTCTATGCATAAAATGTAACATTTTCTAAAATTAACCAGTGACAAGTGCCAGTGTCAGCACAGCACTAGCACACTATGGCACGCTCCATCCACGCCCAGCACAGAAACATCACCCAGTGAGTTATGTCATGCCCATACTGTGTTGTTATTAGATATTTTTCAGAGTATTCGATCATAAAGGGAAAAAATACGGTTAAATTAACATGCAAAATATAACTTTAAGATTTATACAATCAGAATACAAAACCAGACAGGATATTCTAATTTTGCTGGGAATGTGTAGAAGCACGTGTCATGTGTGTATACCTGTTTGTCCCTTAAAGGAGACTATATGATCAAAAGTACAAGGTGGCTCTATGAGCAGAAAGCAGAGGGCTCAACTCTCCTGCACAGCATGGCACTAGCACTTCCCAGTGATTCACACAATGGGGTGTTGTGAACTCAGTGCACAGGGCTCAGGTGGAGCTCATACTCCTCTTCCCCATGCTGAGGACACAATGGTGGCGGGGACTGGCTTTCCCTTCCTGACTGCAGGCCCATCAGCCACCAAGCCTTTCCATCACCAGTATCTTCACCTTTAAGGTTTTAAAAGCATTACAACATTAGGACATCATTCTTTTATAATCTTGAAATGAAATAGTGACTATTTTTTCAATTAAAGTAAATGGATGGTTCTTTTAAAACCCTAATTTGCATTTTTAAAAGGAGGTATAATTACACACCCACCCACATATATGCAGAAAAAATATTTGTAAAATACATAACTAGTAACTATGGTTATTGAGGAGACCTAGGGGAGGACAATCAGGAATAAGCCTGACTTACCACTGGATAACCAATTGATTTTCAAAAAACCAAATTTTAAATAATCTACTTGACCAAAAGAAAAACATAACAGTTTCTTGAAATCTGAATTAGGAGTTACCTCTCTAGTATTTTTAAAAAATCAAAACCAAAAAGGGTGCTATTGCAGAGCCTTCTACAAGTCAAAATGTACCATCTCTCCTTGTGGTTCTTAAATAAATTTTAAAAGCAAGAAGCAAATTTTCTAAAGCATGAGCCAATTAAGCCATTCACATCTTTTTGAACAGCATAGATATAACCTTTCAAATAAATGGGTATGCGCTGCACCTACAAAGTTGACGTCCAAAATGATGCCCATCTCCCAACTGCTCAGTGTGGTAAGCCAGGAAATGTTTCTTTGAATGTTACACCTCCCAGAATCAAGCAAAACCTCAGGAGATATCAAGCAACCACTGACACCCTGACTGGAGAAATCTGCCACCAAGCATTTACAACTGACAAAGCCATAAACCTGGCCATCTTCTATACTCTTTCCTACATACCTGGGTTTTTTAAAACTCCTGTTACCTTTTGTAAGTACTTAAAAAGTGGAGTTTTAACTATCAAAAGTGTTAGGCTTGTTTGTCTGACTGCTTCCCTAATCTCCAATCAGGAATCTGACCTCAGAGAGTGAAACCTGAGTTAGTACGCTTACCACTGGGATAACATGGGTGACTCCGTCTCCACTGTCAATGACAATCCCTGTCAGCGTCCGCTCGCCAACCTGTCGAGATGTCCAAGAGGCTGCTAACGCCAGCACTGCCTGCAGAGAAGACACAGAGGCCTCAGTGCCTGGGCTCTCGATGAAGCCCCCACCTGCCTGCCCTGAGGGCAATGAACGAACTCCTTCTTTCTGAAGGAGTCTGAGTATGTCTTTCCTTTCCCCATCCTCCGACTCCTTTTTCCACAAACTCAATTCCAACTTAGACATCAAACGCAAAATTTCACATACTTCAACTCTAGGAGTCACACTTTTCAATAATGAAATGTAAAATTCTACAAAGAAAATCCAGTAAAAAAGAACTTTCATGATAGACCCACGTTTCAATTAGACCACTGACTCTCACATGGGACCACAGACTCAGAGGTCTTAAAATTACAGAGGATGATGGTTGTCAACCCTAGTCCTCAAGCAGGCACAGCTTCACCACCTGGGGAACACTGGCGACACCTGGTGCCATTTTTACACTGTGGCGCCTATGGAAGGAGGGAAGCTGGTGGGAGTCTGCCTCGGAGTACAGGCCAGGGCTGCTGCTAAACACCCTTATATATTCCCAACTATCTCAGTCAATTCCTGAGTATAAGGTAGCAAATATAAAGTCACCAAAAGCTTAAAAAAAAAAAAAACAGGGGCTGGGACTGTGACTCAGTGGTAGAGCGCCCGCCTAGCACGGGCGGGACCCGGGTTCGATCCTCAGCACCACATAAAAATAAAGGCATTGTGTTGTGTCCATCTACACCTAAAAAATAAATATTAAAAAAAAAAAAGTCATTTTGAAGGTGTTCTGCAAAGTCCTGGGAGCCTGGAGTCTCTCAGAAGCAGGAGGGTGCCCTGGGACAAACAGGAGCAAGTAAGCACTGGCCCCCCACAGTATCCACTCTATTTTTCAACAGATTCTACAGTACCTGTTGTTGTTTTGGATCAGAAATAAGTGAAAGAAGCTAAAGAGAGAACACTCCCATCTTGTCACCCAGAGAAAAATACACTAGACTTTGCATGGAAAAAGAAAAAGCCAGACAAACATGTAACAACGATATAAATATACAAATCAGTCATGGAACAGTCTCTGCAGTGCTTTAGTGCAAACTGAATGGCACGAACTTGTGTGTTGAGGGAGTGGGAAAAGGAAAAACACACAGCATAACTTACAACAGCGAAAACTACTATTTCTTCCCCTGCCAGACAGCAAGGTTCTTTGGGAAACATAAAAATAACCGTTTTTACCTGAACTGCAATGTAGAGTCCTGGTACATTAAATGATTCAAACATAATTTCTGCAAGATATTCTCTATTTTCTGGTGTATTCAGTGGGGGTTCTGTCTGTAAGAAAACATTATTAGTGTTCACCTAAATTTCATGCAATTACATCAGAATCATAAAAAGACTAGTATAAAAACATGTTAGCAAGGATATTTATACAACTGCCTAAATTTACAGTCAGTGTACACCTAAAGCAACTAATTAAAGAAATCTGTCTATGGGTTGTAAGAGCTTTAAGATGAAAACCTTTCTAAAGGCCTCTTTTCTCAGGACCCACCCTCACAGGAATAAGCTACAGAAAGGGAGACTCTGTCTTTGATAACCCTCCTCAGTTAGGACTAAAAAAATTAAATAGAATTATATTCTGGGGCCAGGACCCATCTAATAAAATAGATGGGTTCAAAAGATCAAAAGTCAGTATTGTGTAATAGAAGATCAAAAATAACCTATGCAGTCATCACCAAAAAAATGGTTAAATAAATGATGCTAAACCTATAAAATATAATAATGCTTTGCAGTGATTTAAAAAGATGAGCACTATATGTGTGATTAAAAAACCATCTCTACAATGAATTGCTGAATGGAACAGAGAAAGCTGTTCAGTTATATATGCAGTTAAATATTCTTTTATATCAACAATCTGTAATGCAAACTACTTTTTAAAAAAACAGGGTGAGAAATGGAGAGTCACCATTCAAAGTGTACAGAATTTGTTGTGCAAGATGTTGCACTGCAATGTGAATATAGCTAACATTAGTGAACTGTACACTTAATAATAGCTAAGATGGTGAATTTTATAACTTCTGCTTTGCTTACAATTTAAACAAAGATTTTTAAACAAAAAACTCAAGATGCTTTGTGTATTGGATCACCATTTGTGTTTAAAAAAAAAAAAAAAAAAAAGTCTGTCTAACCCACAGGTCTGCGCGTCATCACCTCCCCAAGATGAAACCAGCTGACTAAGCACTTCCCCTGGGGCCAGGGCAGAAGGGGCAGGGGAGGGGTGCCTGGGAAGCCCCAGGACCTGTTTGCTCCACACTGTGTATAGCAGTCGTCAGACATACCAACAAATCCACCCACCAGCCCACCCAGCCCTTCAGTTCAGACTCAGTAGCAGCAGCTGGCACAAAGCTCAAGCTACAACACACGTGCTGTCTCAGCCACTGTGACTGGAATTTAATACGCCCCATGGTGGGGGACGGATGGAGAGCAACCTCAGATGGTGGGAGAAAAGACAATGAAATCCTTCTCCACAGCAGTCTCCAAGGAGGAGACCTAAAAGGCATTCAACAACATAGTACTTATTTAATATGCCCAACTCCAAGTGCAATTGAGATAATATTTCCTTACCCTGAGATTCCATTTCACTCCAATCAGAATGGCATTTATCAAGAATTCAAGTAACAATAAATGTTGCCAAGGAGATGGGGGACCTTACCACGGGCCTCGGCCAGCCCAGTGAGCACAAAGCCTGCTGCCAGGCTTCTGGGGGGTGAGTGGGGGGAGTCCCCTGCATCCCAGGCCTTCCCATAGGGGAAAAGGCACACTCATACATTGCTGGTGGGACTGCAAATTGGTGCAACCACTATGGAAAACAGTATAAAGACCCAGTTATCCCACACCTTGGGATGTACCCAAAGGACTTAAAATCAGCATACTACAGTGATACAGCCACATCAATGTTTATAGCAGCTCAATCCACAATAGTAAGCTATGGAACCAACCTCAGTGCCTTTCAACAGATGAATGAATAAAGAAAATGTGGTAATATACACAATGGAATATTACTCAGCCATAAAGAATGAAATTATGGCATTTGCTGGTAAATGGATGAAACTAGAAAATATCATGCTAAGTGAAATAACCCAATTCCAAAACCAAAGGTCAAATATTCTGATAGCAAATGTAACACACAATAAGGGGGCAGAGGGGGAGAACAGAAGTTCACTGGAATAGACTAAGGGGAACAGGGGAAAGGAGGAGGGATGGGAAAAGGAAAGACAGTAGAATCAATCAAACATAACTTTCCTATTTCATATATGAATACATGACCAGTGTAACTCCACATCATGTACAACCACAGGAATGATGTATGATATGTCTACTGTCATGTGTATCTAAAAAGGACAAATTAAAAAATGCAAAAAAAAATACTAACTCTCCTAATACCTGTTAGTGTCCAGAACATAGTTAGTACTACCAATGTTAGTGATTACTATTTTAGATTGCTTTCATTTAAGCACATGAGCTTGGCTCAGTGGCGCACACCTGTAATCCTAGCAGTTCAGGAGGCTGAGGCAGGAGGATCACAAGTTCAAAGCCAGCCTCAGCAACTGTGAGGCACTAAGCAACTCAGTGAGACCCTGTCTCTAAATAAAATACAAAACAGGGCCAGGGATGTGGATCAGTGGTCAAGTGCCCCTGAGTCCTAGTACCAAAAAAAAAAAAAAAAAACCACTCACACACATGAGCAATAAGTGCAGACTCCAACAGTATTTGTTCACATGTATCTCTTACGGTATAGCCTATCAATCTGAAAAACATACGTAATAATATAACCTACCCCAGAGGGTGGGGTTAAATAAATGAATCAATACTTGTAAATACTTAGAACAGGGCTAGGCATGTAGGAAGTGCTTAATAAACATAGGTACTAATTGCCAAAAATGTGTCTCCTACCAGAAGAAATGACATACAGTTACCAAAGAGACCCTGTGGCACTGTTTCTTACCCTGACTAAAAGCCAAGCGTTGTAAGTCAGCTTTCAAAACCAAGCCCTTGAACTGAATAGAGGGCAGCATCCAGGAAGGAGGGTCAGAAAGAAATCAGAAGCAGCCAGGCCCGGTGGTGCCACTGGAATCCCAGGGACTCAGAGGCTGACAGGAGGATGGCAAGCTTGAGGCCAGCCTCAGCAGTTTAGCAAGGCCAGAAGGAACTTGGTGAGGCCCTGTCTCAAATTTAAAAATAAAATAAAAAAGGGCTGGGGATGTGGCTCAGCGGTTAAGCACCTCTTGGGGGTTCAATCCCGGGTACCAAAAAAAAAAAGAAAAAGAAATGAAAAGTGGCTAGTGCAGCCAGGGAATGCTTCCTGTTTGTCAGTGAGGAGCTTCCTGTTTCATCTGAAGGAAAAAGGGAACTCAACTTAGCCAGGCACAGTGTCGCGTGCCTATAATCCCAGCAATTCAGGAGGCTGAGGCAGGAAGACAGCATGTTCAAGGCCAGCCTCGGAAATTTAGCAAGATCCTGTCTCAAAATTTAAAGACCAAAAAAGTGCTAGTGATGTAGCACAGCAGTAGGGCAAGGCCCTGGGTTCAACACCCAGAACCACAGAAAAAAGAAAGAAAAAAAAAAAGAAAGAAAATGGACGAAATATAGGAACTGTAATATTATGTATAAAATCATATAAAAACATGGATAAAGGGCTGGGGCTGTGGCTCAGTGGTAGAGCACTCGCCTAGCATGTGTGAGGCCCTGGGTTCCATCCTCAGCACCACATAAAAATAAATAAATAAAATAAAGGTACTGTGTCCAAGTACAACTAAAAAATAAATATAAAAAACATGGATAAAAAGATGAAATGAAAATATCCTAAATGTTAACAATAACTACGTTAATAATGTGACAGCATCGTGAAAGGCTGTATGGTCATCTTCCAAATGTACTGTGTCGTACAGCTGCAGTGCCATGAGGGCCCTTTACGCAGCCCTGCGTCGTGGCCTGCAGGCCAGACCACACAGACTCCTATGCAACTCCTGGACAGCTCATTCACAGAGGAGCCTGAGCAGAAGCAAGACGGCCACACAACAGGACCAGGTGGTGCACATCTGCCTACAGCTGCTCTTGGGCCTGCTGACTCCCTGGCCTCGGGACACTCTCCAGGTGGGCAGAATCCAGCCACAGGTGTGAAAGCAGTGAGTTCTTGTTCTGCTGGCCTTCGTACCTGTGAGTCCCCCAGTACAGCAAACTCTCCACAGGCTACACTGACACTCTTTGAGTTTCTTACCGACTGAACAGCTACAGGCCCAGACAAAGGCATTTTTCCCAGGCTCCTTGTCAAAAGGGATGACTAAGATGGGTGCGGTGGTGCACACCTGTAATCCCAGCTGCTCAGGAGGCTGAGCCAGGAGGATTGCTAGTTCAAAGCCAGCCTAGCAAAAGCAAGGCACTAAGCAACTCAGTGAGACCCTGTCTCTAAATAAAATACAAAATAGAGCTGGGGATGTGGCTCAGTGGTCAAGTGTCCGAGTTCAATCCCCAGTACCCTCCAAAAAAAGAGAAGTAGACTCCCTTTTCTCTTAACTCATTCTTCCTTCCTAGAACATGGAGGTAATGACAGAAGCTGCAGTAACCTACCTGTGAACATGAGGCATCCTCACCATGGAAGCCACAGATGAAAGACACCAGAGAAGAGAAATTCCTAATGACATCAGGAAGCTGCCAAATCAGCAGACTCCCTACTATAAATTTAGCCACACCTATAATCCCAGTGGCTCTGGAAGCTGAGACAGGAGAATGAGTTCAAAGCCAGCCTCAGCAAAAAGCAAGGTGCTAAACAACTCAATGAGACCCTGTCTCTAAATAAAATACAAAAAGTAGGGTTGGGATGTTTTTCAGTGGTCGAGTGACCCTGAGTTCAATCCCAGAATCAAAAAAAAAAAAAATTATTTAGGGAAAATAAAAACCCCAACTTGTTTAAACTACTAATTTTTATACCTCTTATTATTTGCCACCAATTACAATTCACTACCTTTAAAAATAAAAATCCATATACTTCCATTTAGGGAATATTGACCATACAATTATATTCCCTCGGTTCTTGAATCAAATCCAGCATTATTAGGGCCACATCCTCATGTGTTAAAAGCCACATTATAAGCTCATCTGTCCCTCCGTGTTACATTTCTTCCTCATCTACCACAATGACTTAGTAATTATTCCTTTAGGATGTAAAGTTAAGTAAAATTTTCCCAAACCATCATTACAACATAATCCAAAGTGGGATATCACATTTGGGTTTTTTTTTTTTTTTTTTTCATAGTGAAGCAAATCATCAGAACACCTCATGAATGCAAACTACATAAACATTTTTATTCATTGCACTAGTAATATTACCACCTGGTACTGACTAAAAAATGAGTAATTAATGAGTGCCACAAAAAAAAATCAAATGAACACATGAACTAATATTATTCCACCCTCATCCCTCTATAACTGCAGTAAAGAAACATTTTTAAAAATATAGATGCTCAAGGAAGAGAAATCAGTAGGGTGAGCACAATGGCGTATGCCTGTAATCCCAGCAGCTGGGAGGCTGAGGCAGGAGGATCACGAGTTCAAAGCCAGCCTCAGCAATTTAGCAAGGCCCTAAGCAACTAAGTGAGACCCTGTCTCTAAATAAAATGCAAAAAGGGGCTAGGGATGTGGCTCAGTGGTTGAGTGCCCCTGAGTTCAATTTCTAGTACCCCCCCCCCAAAAAAAAGGGAGCAGGAAGGAGGGTGATAACATGCAGAAGCCAGAGGGCTTGAGAGGCAGTACTAAGTAAGCAAATCCAGGGAATCGACCTCTGTGGGGGCTGGAGGCTACTGAAGTGGACAAGGCAGATCTAAAGTGCAGGAAGGGACCTCTAGAGGGAGTCAGGGCACACAGGATTCAGATGAGCAGCACTGTTAATACAAAGCTGCCAAGTTTTAATTTCACTAGATTCACCAAAAAACTTCTTCCACAGAGCTCTAACCTAAATTTTACATACAAGACTTCAAGATAATCATGAATTCTCACATTCACCTCTTATTTTACTTTTGATGATCATGTGACTGTCATGATTCCATCAACACCTGCAGCTCCAAGCTGGCTCCTTCCAGGCTTCTTGGCCTGGGCAGCCCAGTGACCCTTAAGCCTCAGTGTGTTCAAAACTGAACACTCCTTCGTCTTCCCTTAAGTCTCTTCGGACGTCCCCATTTCACCCAATCCCAGACCACCTGAGAACTAAAAGTTCTGAAACTGGGTCGTTCTTCATTCCTCTTTTAGCTGCTGAATTCTAACCACAAAAAACCACCAATTGTTCCTCCTATAGATCTCTGCCACATACCATCTATCCTACCAACTGCACCTGCTTCAAAAAATGACAGCAGTGATGCATGTCTGTAATCCCAGCAACTCAGGGCTGAGGCAAGAGGGTCTTAAGTTCAAGACCAGCCTGGGCAATTCAGTGATACCTCCCTTCTCAAAAGCAAAAATAAAAAGGGCTGGAGGCATAGCTCAGTATTGAGTGCTCCTAGGTCCAATCCCAACCCCGTGTTTAAAAAAAAAAAAAAAACAAGAGGGGTTGGGGCTAGGTGGTAGAGCACTCGCCTGGCATATGTCGGGTGCTGGGTTGATCCTCAGCATCACACAAAAATGAATAAATAAAATAAAGGTATTGTGTCCAATTACAACTAAAAAAATATTTTTAAAAAACACACAGATAAGCTCATGAGAGAATAAACAAGAATGATGAGGCCAAATAAAAGAGAACAAGAAAACAACTAAGTGAAAAACACATATGCTCTGTGCCACCCTACCTAAGAAGGATTTGCTCTGGGTGGTTTCCTTAACTGGTCTCCTTTCCCGCATACTCTCAAAGCAAGAGCCTATCACTAGACTGAGGGTAGCTTTAATAAAAGACATGTAACCCCATAATGTTCCCCTAAATCCAAGTCTGCTACCTCAGCTGATGCATACAAAGTTCCTCCGTGTTGGAGTAAAGTGAGTTCCACCTGCTGAGGACTCCCACCCAGCCTCTTACACGGGCCCTTCCTCAGCGATTCTCACAGGTCACTTGGACTATGGCTTCACCTTATCAATTTTAAGAGCCCTACAGAGCAGTTACTGCCCTGTGTGCACACCTTCCCTCTCTCAGGCAGGTGCTCCCTCTCTCAAGGAGTGACCACAAAGCCTGTGTTGGTCATGTGCCCTCTCCACTCAAACAGCAGCCAGGCTCCACTGCCTCATACCACGCCACACTGCCCCACATCCTCTTCCTGACCTCTGCCCGTCTCCCACGGGGCTTCTGTCACACTAACTTCGTCATTTCCTCTAAGTCTGCATGTGCGCTCATTGCTGGTCACGTGCACAAATTGCTTGCTTGTTCTTGTGTGAGTTACAGTCAAAACTTTGCTAATTTGAGTAAGGCCCTGGTTCAACCCCTAGCACAAGATAATCTCTTCTGAAGCCATAACTCAATTGCCACACTAAAATGATTCCACTGTTAGAGACAGCAGTATGATTCCCATCTGCCACCTACTCAACCCTCATGACAACATCCAGTGTCATGAGCTCATCTGCATGGTACATGTCAGAAGAGATTATCCTGTGAGCTTCTGAGGGACCCATCATTTGAGTCACTTGGACTCTTCAACCAAGAAGCCCTGTCTAATTCAGCATTTCATTCCCTTGAATTATCCCATCAACTGAATACGTAAGGAAATAAACATGAAATTTTGATCCATATTACTTCCTCAATCACATGCAAATGAACTAACTTACAGAATTCAAAGCACCAATACAATACTTTCTTATATTTTTAATAATAATTGATTACTTTTCAATATTTGCTGTAGGTACCCATTTTCAGCAAATGGACTTTTCCAAGCTCACAAACACCTCCAATTCCTTCTTGGAAAGTGATGATATCTTACTTCCTTATATATGCCAGCTGAATTAGGGAGAAAAAAATTTCTTAGGAAAAGTGCCCTGTGGGCTGTATCCTGGTGGCCTGCATTTGCTCTACAGGACAAAGAACAGACCCCTAACCAAGATATTTCATCCCTCTGTAATGTTTTGTTTGAACACGATGTCCCTTTAGTGAGGGTGGAAAACTCCCAGCACAGTAAGCTGAACAGACAGAAAGCAGCAGCTAAACATGGTGCCTGGTTCTAAAATTATCTCCAAACAGATAGGTAACGATATGCTAAAGAAGGGAACATGGCAAGTCTGACAGGTAGGAATCTGTGATTTATTTGGGTCATAAAGAAAAAGTCACTCATACACTGTCAGTTTCTTGGCTCCATTTATTTTATATAAACCACTATACATGTCCAGGAGAAAAAACAAGAGTGGCCTATAAAACATGGTAGCCATACTCGACAATTCCAGTTGTGAAGTGTAACTGAGGAAAAAGATCAAAGCACCTGGGGGTGAAGCTCAGTGGCAGAGCACTTGCCGAGCATGTGTGAGGCCACAGGTTCAATCACCAACAACAACAACAAAAAAAATCAGAGCACTTTCAAGGACTTATTTTAACAAATGTTAAATATATGCATTCTATTCACTATTAGCCTTATAGATAACATTTTTAAACTAGATCATTCTAAAGGAACATTATATATTCAAACATTAAAAGGAATTACATACTTAGATCTGGAATCTTATGACATTATACTTGCATAGAAGAAAAACCCAAAGTTAAATTATATATTTTTAATATGCAGCTTATGTTGTATGAAACTGTTCTCTATAAAGCAAACCTTTTACATATGCAATTAATTTTAAATGGAACATTTCATGGAAGAAAATATGTAATATTGAGTACAACAATTAGAACAGATCTCTAACCAAGATATTTCATCCCTCTGTAATGTTTCGTTTGAACACGATTAGTTAAGCATCATAGTCAGAGCCCACAACAGCTCAGTTTTATTTTATAACAACATTTAAACCCAGGAAAAAAGAACATCTTAACAGACTCCTCTGCTATCACTAGTGGTAATAATCAGAGTGTCTTAACTATTTCTCAAGGACACTGAAGAACACAGTTGGTTTCCTACCCAAAACTAGGTCTCCCCCTATGGTATTTGCTGCTTAGGTACTTAAGTTTCTCTCAGGGTCCAAGCAATCAGCCATGGTCCACCACTGTCCCCAGTCCCAGAGAGAGAATCTAAACTAAGCTACAGACCTGGCAATTGCATTCCTCTTGCTGGTGACAAGGCCAGGTTTGGGCAGAGAGGGCAGATCTGTGGGGGGTTTCTAAATTCTTAAAAGGTGATGTATAAGGAAAACTTTCCCTCTACATCTGAGCAAAAATATCTGAAGAGGTGACCAAGAACTTGGGAAGCAATCCTGAAGCTGAGAGGAACAGAAGAGGTCCAACTAAAGGAGGATTCCACCTCTGACTGGTAATGCAAGCAGCCTGATTCTATCCTTCCTGTACAGCAACACAGTAAGCCCCTTTTGATCGTGGGTGTTTTTATTAAGTTTATTTGCAAAAAATAAACATAAATTCTGATTCATGTAAATATCTTTAGAAGGAATTAAAAACTCCCTTGGGAATATCTTGAGTGTAAAATCTAAGCATCAGAAACTTTTCAGGTTACAAGAATATATTCCCATTAGTTGCCAATTACTCACCATTAAAAAATAATGGTCCTCAGGTTCAGCTCTAAGGTATTTGAAAACCACTTGTTCCATGAACCTTTCCATAAGATCCCAGTCTTCAATGATTCCATGTCGAATTGGCCACTGAAGCAAGAGAAAATGTTGGAATAATCAGAGCAACAGTCCCGAGGCTGTGTGTTAACCATGAGAAGAAACAACAGGCCTTATTAAAAAACTACCTACATGCTGCTCATACTCTACACCACCCACTTCTCAGTACAAAGAATCGCCTCCACAGGGGAGGCAGATGCAGCTCCACCACAACTGGATCTGGTGCCCGGCTCTTTTTTTTTTTTTTTTTTTAGAAGAAGAAGAAATATCTACTTAAATAATGTTAGTGTTTCTTGTTAATGACTCAATCTGCAATTTTCCATATCTGACAGGTTCATTAGTCAACCAGTAATTTTCCAGGAAAGCAGATTTTGCTTTCAAGTGTGACTCCATGTTCCCTGAGTCGATTCTGCATGCCAGGTCTTTTATAATTCATGTGATTCACCACTCAAAATACACCTATTCAAAACAACCTTATCCAACTCAAATGTAAGAATAACACTATATTCCACAGCTCACAAGCACGATTTCTAGACATCCAACCATTCTGCATTCTGTTTACTATTCTGTTCTTGGTTTGGCACTTAAACAGGTAAACTCCTGTCAGAAATTTACCTTTGTAGCATAGGTAGGCTTATCGATGGCTTCATCTCCTATGAAAAAGTCAAGGTCATCAACACCCCGCAACACTCTCCTTTGGGCTTGGTCAACCACCTTTGCTGACTCTCTGATGGCAATACCTTAATAATAAAACAATAAAAAAAAAAAAGCAAAAAGATCTCCATCAGTATCCACATTTATGTGAAAGACCAGGAAAGAAAAATATAACCCCTACATATGTATAAGTAAATTTTCCATGTTACAGTTTTATCTGAGGTTAAGGGTACTCAGAGAAAAGACACTGCCAATGAGCATATGATACAGAAACGAGTTATTTTTTCAGAATGGTACAAAGGAACTGGGCTTTTAGACAGAAGGTATGATACTAAATCTCTCAGTTTCATCCAGGAAAATCCCTCAAGATAGTAAGTAAAATTCCTATGGATTATATACCAATGGTTTAAATTTTTTTAATACAGTATAGAGGGGACAAAATTCTGTATAATACAGAAAAGGAGAGTAAACTGAAAAATAATGTCTATATACTCTTAATCATTTTATAAAATACTACATCACACAGCTTTAAAAATGTCTAGTCTTGTTAAAAGGGGGAAACAAAAAGCTGTGATATCCCATTAAAAAGAAAAACCAGGGGCTGGGGTTGTGGCTCAGCAGTAGAACACTCGCCTGGCACCTGGAAGGCCCTGGGTTCAATCCTCAGCACCACATATAAATAAATAAAATAAAGTTATTTAAAAAAAAAGAAAAGAAAAACCAAAAGGTGCTGGCTAGTATCTGTTGCAAAGAGCACAATAAGCAAACCGTAACAATGTAAATAACAATGGCTGCACATTTTTATTTTAATAAGATCTTAAATAATCATGTAAAACTTCATTCTAGAATGTAACATCTAACAAACTGTAAAAACCTTCACAGATTCAATTTCTAACTCAAACTCCATACCCCATCACACACTAAGCTCCCATAAGCTCCCACTGGCCACCCAGTTCTGGGTCACCCACTCCTGTGAAGTGTTCCTAATGTTTAATTAGTGTTTCTAATGTTTCCACTAGCCCTAAACTTCCAGTAAGTCATTTTTCACAAATAATTGTAAATGTTTGACATTAGTCTACCAATGAGACTGTAGGTTTTTTGTATTTTGGGTTTTTTGGTAGAACTGGGGATTGAATCCAGGGATAGTCTACCACTGAGCTACATCCCCAGCCCTTCTTTTATTTTTTATTTTGAGACAGTTCTTAAGTTGCCCAGGCTGTCCTTCAAGTTGTGATCCTCCTGCCTCAGCATCCTGAATAGCTGGGATTACAGGTACATCATCACTTTTGGCAAGACTGCAAATTTCTTTAAGTCAAATAACCATAAGTCTTTTACTGTTTCTCTAATGGCAGGCACATATGTCAATAACCGTAGCTTACATTAGTTGAGCACTGCTAAGTTTCTTTTCGTGCACTACTTCATTTAGTGCCCATGACAGCTGAATTCACAGGTAAGTGCTATGATTTCACCTTCAAAGAGGTGGAGGCTTAACAAATGACCAAGATCACACAGCTTCTGAGAGACTAAGCCAAGATTGGCTCTTAAGCAGATGGTTACTATCAGAGTAGGCATTAGAGAATATTTGTTAAACTAATATTCTACTGCACTAAAGTATTCTTTGTGGATTTGGAAAATGCAAACTATACCTAAATAATTCTAATATAAGCCTAACCCCATAACTACACTAATGGAATTTCACTATAGGCTTAGTGAAACCTAGCTCTCTAGCACCAACCAGTGCTAGACAAAGTTTCTCATAATTAAAACATCAAAATGCTTGTGACTAGATTTCAGAGAAAGGTAAATATAGTGTCTCTGATATGAACTAATTCTTCAAATAGACCAGCCAACTTTATTTTTCCGCATGAAGGCTTCATGTCGTGGAAGGAGTAGACTTTGAAGTTAAATAAGCCATGGTTTGCAGGCTGGGCTCAGCATTTAAAGCTAGCTGACCTGAGGCTCCAAATACCACCTCTACATTTCACATCCCACCACTTACCTGGCAGGGCTGAGGATTAAACTGCCTATCATTTGTGGAGTGCTTAGTAGAGAACCTGCTACAGAGTAGTACTCAATAAATATTATCTACACAAAGGGCTGGAGTACTTGTAGCTCAGTGGTAGAGCACTTGCCTAGCATGTATGAGGTACTTCGTTTGATCATCAGCACCACATAAAAATAAATAAAGGTATTGTGTCCATCTACAATTAAAAAATATTTTTTAAAAAAATTTATCAACACAAGTGTGGAGACTACAAATGTGACTGGCTAGATACTTAAGAGGAACTGAAATTTAATCACTTAGGACAGAAACTAAGAAACATGATAAAAATGTGCTTATCCAATAATTCCTAGGTGGCACATACCCAAAATACCAGCTACTTAAGAGGAAGAGGCAGGAGGGTCACAAGTTCCAGGCCAACTTGGGCAACTAAGTAAGACCCTACATCAAAAATAAAATTTTAAAACCAGGCACAGTGGAACCCACCTATAATTCTAGCAGCTTACAAGATTGAGACAGGAGGATTACAAGTTCAAAGCCAGCCTCGGCAATTTAGCAAGGTCCTAAGAAACTTAGTAAGACCCTTTCTCAAAATAAAAAATTAAAAAGGGTGGGCTGGGGATATGGTTCAATTGGTAGAGTGCTTGCCTTGTTCAATTCCCAGCATCACAAAAAAAAAAAAGAAAGAAAAATTTTAAAAAGGCTGGGATGTGACTCATCAGTTAAGCACTCCTGGGTTTGATTCCTGCTACAAGAAAAAATAAAAGGGGATGGGAATGTAGCTAAATGGTAGAGCATCTGCCTAACATGCACAAGGCCCCGGGTTTAAATCTTTAGCACCTCCTAAAATAATAAAAATAAAAATAAATTCTCAGCTTTCCAGTTATAAAAATTGGGCATAAGCCCAAAGGACAGAGCAACTGCATCAGCGAAGCAAGCAGGAGAGAAGCAAAGCCCTGGAGCCTCTGGAGCCTCGAGGCCTGTGGCTGCGACGGGCTCACAGGTCTAGGGGCCGACACTAACAAGGCAGTGCACAGCAGGAAATGAAACCCCTCTCTGAAAACTGACCATGAGACTGCTATTATTTCTTTCTTCTTTATGGCTGAGTAGAACTCCATATATGTACCACATTTTCTTGATCCATTAATCTACTGACGGGCATCTGGGATGATTCCATAACTTGGCTCTTGTGAACTGTATTGCTATAAACAGTGAAGTGGCTGATCACTATAGCATGCTGACTTTAGTTATTCTGGATAAGTACCAAGGAGTAGAACAGCTGGGTCATATGGTGGTTCCATTCCTAGATTTTTGAGGAATCTCCACACTGCTTTCGAAAGTGGTTTTACTGATTTGCTAAGTGAAATAAGCCGACTCAGAAAACCAAGGGTCAGATAAAATATTCTGTCATATGTGGAAGCTAGAGCAATTTAAAAAAAAGGGAGAAAGAAGGCAGGGGAGATCAGATATCATAAAGATATAGGGAAGATAAGTGGAACAGAAAGAGAGCAAGAGGGAGGAAGGATGGGAAAGGGGAGGAAATAAGGAATGAATTTAACAAAACTGTGTTATATGTGCATATAAATGTTCCACAGGGAATTTATTTATTTATTTGTAGAAACTGCCAATCAAAAAAAAACTAGTGAGGGACTGGGAATATAGCTCAGTTGGTAGAGTGCTTGCCTCACATGTACAAGGCCCAGGGTTTAGATACCCAGCACCACAAAAAAAGGCGAGAAAAATAAACAAGTGAAAGGAAAATCAGTAGACTAGAGGAAGAAGAACAGGGAGAGGGAACAGAATAAGAAAGGAAGGGAATGGGAACTGAAATCAAATTCTTTGCATGTACAATTCTGTCAAAATGTACCCAACTACTGTGTATAACTATAATGCTCTAATGTTTTTTTCAAAAAAAAAAAAAACTGATTTATAAAACAGTCCTTTAGCCCACTTGAAAAAAAAAAAAAAACTGACTACGAAATCAAGGACATACTGACAGACACCACACAGAACCATCTGATATATGTGTTGGATATTCCCAAGGGCAACTGGCAAGAAGGCTTGCAGCAGATCTCAGATTCTATCCTCTGGGCAGAATCAAACCTAATATGTATAAATGTAAATTTAAACTGCAAAGTCACTATAAAAAATTGTTAAGAGATGAAGGAAAAAATGATTCTGCAACCCATGATATCCTTCAAGTTTAATCAAGTATTTGAGGGCAAAAGAAAAAAAAACTATACAGTAACACTGCAAGAATTAATCTCAAAATAAATAAGTTACATATGTATGTGCATAAAATTTATACTCAAGATCTTTTTTCATATATATCTATGAAAGCCAAGATATGGCCCAAATAGTCCTTAGGAACAAAATAAAGAAATATTTCCAAGAGACTCGATTGCCCATGTTTCTCATAAAATAATGACCTGTTTCACCCCAGCTATTCCCAGGACCCACAGCCTGCTTCAAAATCCTGACTTCCATCCACCCAGTAGTAACTCTGAGCCCCTCTCCAACTGGGTATCCACAAAGGCCAAATGGGAAGCCTGACTCTGACACCACACTGGCAGTCATGAAGAGGCATCCCCCTTAAAATAAGATCAGAATCTCAAAGCATACACCCAAAATGTTCAGGTTTTGATAAGACAGATCAATTTCACCAAAGAAACAATTGGGGACGACTTAACTGAAACAATACAAGTGACAAACAAGTGACAAACCAAGATGACACAGATACCACAATTGTCAAGCAAGGATTGCAGGAGCCATCATAAAACCCTTTAGGGAACAATCACAAACACACAGAACTGTGCACACATACTGTACCATACTAGATTCCCGGCTCTACCACTGTAGATGTGATCTTTGGGATAAACCGAGTAAAGAATACACAGGACTTTTCTAAACTCTCTTTGCAACTTCCCATGAATCAACAATTATTTCAAAATAAAATAATGTAAAATAAAGCTCACAAATGATTTAAACAATCTAAATTATAAAACACCTCAGTTTTAATGATGATCAAACTAACAAGATTAAACTTAATAAAGAAAAATGTTCTCAAACTTAGTAAAGAACAAA